TACCAGAGATGTTCATCTCTGAGTCAAGTCTGAAGCATTTGAGTCCATTTCAAGTCTCTGGGAAATGAGTGTGAATGAAGTTTCAGGTCTTTGAACTAGAGTCCAAATCAAATCTCAAGTCTATGCTTCCAGCTTAATATATAATCCATGATGTTTTTCTTCTTTTAAATTGTACCCAGTACAATCACAGATCGCGAAATCCTGGAGGGACGGGTTAAAAGATGTAAAAAAAAAAAAAAAAAAGACTTCGCTCCTGGATGAATGTTCAGCTCCTCGTTACATTATGAAAGACTCTTAATGTTCATGAGTCTTAATCCATGAATTTGAAATGAATTCCTAAATTAATTAGGAACAAGTTGCATGTCAAGTCTGAAGTCTATTTTTGTGGGACTGGAGTGCGACACAAGTAGGAGTCACCAACCATCAAGTCCCCAAGCGTCTCTTTACCTAAATCATAAGTTCCAGGTTTGTATCCATAGATTCACCTCCAAGGTCTCCATTTACAGCAAGTCAGGATTCAAGGTGAGCCTTGCCTATAAGATAAATGCAGGCTCTATTCTGCACCTGGAGAGATGTAACACGATGGGATTCCTCATTGCCTATGGCCGCTGCCTATCCGTTCAGTCCTCATCCCCTTCGGGTTGTAAAGTGCAGCCATTCTGCTTCCCACTTGCAGTAATGTTTTAAAATGTCAATGTTTTGGTATGGAGTAAAAGAGACTAGTCACTAAGAATAGCCCTATAGACAAGATATAATGAATCCCAAATAACACCCATCTCTCAGTCAACAGAGTATGCCCAGCTCAAAGTCCAGTCATGTGTGACACTCAGGAAAACACCCATTCTCAGTCAAACCCCATATAAAACACAGTCCAAATTCATCCTCACCCAAGTGTTCCATTAAAGGCTAATGCTGTGATAAATGTTACAGAGGCTCTGGCTAATAACAATGGCTAATAACAGAGGATGAAGCACGGTGAGTCAGTGCCTTGAGTGCATGATGACAGTCATTAAGTCATTGTCCCTACAGAAGGTAGAAGCCCAACAAAATCACCCTCTAACTTATGGATGTAGCGAAATGAAAATCATTTGCTATGACTTGTAGGGCTCAGTATTAGCATTGTTGTTCTTCTTGGTTGATGAATGTCAGAAAATGATGAACCATAGTAAGTATATTATGTTGGTCGATGAGCCTAAAGCTAATTGCCGCAATCACACTGACTAATTGTCGCTAATGCTAAGTGAACTTCCTGACCAGTGACCTGCCCTCGCATTGTTTTCGTTTGGTTTCAAATGACATGTTAGACAAAACAATGGCATTTTCAAAGAGAATCAGATCCTCGTTTCTACGGGTGTGTCTCCTCTATATTGTGCCGTAATAGCCCCAGTTGCTGTATCCACTTGACATTGCATACCTCTGTTCCAGAGTAGAACAAAACAGAAGGTGTGTTCTCCTCTTTGAGTGTTGTTTCTTTCAGCTCATGATAGTTTCTTTTAAGGAAACAAGTCATTTTTTCTGTTCCCCACTGCCTGAGTCCTTCTGTGTCTCTGACTCTTAGTCCTTCACTGCATCCCCCTTGTCTCACCCGTTCCTGTTCTTTGTTTTATATCGTACTGCGGCATTTGCAGCAGTTGGTGCTGTAAGACCTTCAGGACTTTCCCAGAATGGACACGTTTGTGCGGCAAAGGGCGTGAGGATCTGAGTAGTTCAAGGGGTCTATCATTATTTTCTTCTTGCCAGAGATAGTGCCTCAGTTGAATTGATGGCTTTTGCAACTCCAGGCTGAAGATTTTTAGTTAGCAAGCCACTTCAAAGTAGCTTCTGCTATATGCTTCTGGTCACTCTCCATATCCTAGGTCTTCTTGAAGGCTGCAACAGGTTTCCCTCCCATGTTTTTCTACACCGTGCATTTTGGCATCTCTGTTCAGAAAGCCCCCTGAAGCAGATAAGCTGCCCCCGTACTTCACGTAAAGGATAGCCTTCTTCAGATGGCATTAGCCCCTTGGCAAACAGAGTACCTAATATCCAGTTTTGTCCGTAACGTCTTCTTCCAATTGGCTGTAGAGTGTCACGCTTGAGAAGGGGTAGGCTGGAAACAAAAAGCAGCCTGGGAATTTGCCACTGACTGGTGTGGGGGGGGGGGGTGGAAGGGAGTACCCATTTGGTATATTTTACTGATCCACCAGTGAAATTAATCATTCACCATTGATCATCTCAAGCAACTGACCTGCAGATACACTAAGATAAACCAATGGGTTGGACAACTCTATATAAGATAATGCTGTGGTTGAGACTGGCTGTCACAAGACTGTCCCAATGGCCAGTTGACACCTGCACGTTTTAAGCATGGACAGTCTCCCACGCCTGCCACACATGGCTATTCACCCGCGGGCCGTGCCTCTCCTTTCTGCCATGCACAACCACCATTTCTCTTTGGCTGACATATGGCTCTTGTTGCCCTCCCTCATAATTCCCCCTCCCATACTCACTTTCCAAGGGTGTCCCAGGCTGACTCACCATTCTCAGTTTTATTATTTTATTGTTGCCGGTGCTCTTTTGATAGCTGTGCTTCAGGCGATCTACAGTGTCTTTGCTTTAATCATCTCCCAGTTAGCGCGCTCAAGAACCATATCCCACATTAGCTCTCAATATCCCTTTGTCACTTACAGACTACAGTATCACCCACAGCCTGGCGTCTTTAATCTAAAATTGTGTCAGTACCTGAACTTCACACAGGTGAACTCCATGTAAACAATTACGCAACTTTTGCAGACAGAGCACGAGAGATTTCCTAAGCAAGATACCGGCAGTCCACAGGTTACAAATGAGATCCGGTCTCTATGTCTGTCTTTAAGACGAATTTGTAGGTATGTCGGAAAAACAATTAAAAAGTGCATCTCAAAAATAATCATTATTATTATTATTATTATTATTATTGTTATTATCATTGCTTGTTTTTGTTGTTATTATACAGTAATAATAGTAACTATATATGGTACTGCACTCTACTGTACCTCAAACTGACAAATCGCTGAAGCGGTGAAATGTTATCACGAGTGTCACAAAGTAGCGTGCACATTTGTTATTACGAACCATTGTATTTAACCCGTGTGTTATTATATTATAGGCTTTATGGTAGTTTGTCCGTAAGTCAGGCACTCTTAACTTGGGGACTGCCTGTATAGGAAAACGGTTTAATACTTATCCTGTCAGTTCTGTTTCTGGTGATGGGGTTGGTAAGTGGCGCTGTAGCCTCAGACCCCCATTGCCGGGGGTTTGAGCCCAAGGCCAGCAGTGTGGGTGTGAGTGTGTAGGGGGGGGGGGTAAGTTCTCTCTATGGTGTGCAGATCTCCTGCTTCCATTCAAAGACATGCCATTAAGTGACCCTAAATTGCCCACAGTTTGTGTGCCAACCCTGCGATGGACTGTCATCCTGTCCTGTCCTGCCTGGCAGAGGCTTCAACTTTGTCACACTTTACTGGATAAATGGTTGGACGACGGATCAGAGATCTGAGTGGGATAATCCTTGTGAATACCAGGTCAATTCCAAGCTTCACAAGAAAATTCCAAACCAGGCATTTGTAGCCACTGCATTTTATATGTGTGTGTAATACCACATCATTTCTACATCCACATAAACAGAAAAGCCTATTAACTTTTGAGATATGTCACAAATCAGAAAATACTTTTACGTTTGCTTGTCTTCTGTCGTTCTATAGTCAAGCACCACTTTAAATGACCTCAGGCACAGCTGTAGTCTTCAGGAATGAGTGCTAAATGTTAATGGGGAAATGTGTCCATTCTGGGCTGCAAAGTGACCATTTTAACTGGGAGTTGCAGGGTACCAGGGTGAGGCTGTCATCCTCATGCCACAGCGGACCCCGTGTGGTGGGTGAGGCCTCAGAGGCCCCGGATCCTGCTGTCACGCCACACTGGTGCAGTTTCCAGTCGCGTACCACCTTCTCTGTCTTTTCCTGAATACCTGAGCATGTAGAGACACTGCCAGGTGACGGGGATCGTTGTGTATCCATTCCTGACGTTTTTCCGCCATACTTCTCCCACCTCCGTTAGTTATGGCCACATTCCTAAGGACATTTTTCACAGCGCGTCGAGCCATTATGCTAGCACTGACCTTTGGCGCGAATGGGATTACCTTGCAAGATTTCCAAGTGAAGCAGGACGGTATTCTAACGGAAGCTACCAGTCAAAGTCTTTGCCCTTGTATCTCTTGCCAATGTGGTTTCAGCAAAACAGTGATTTATTGGACAGCAAAATAATTCATAAACAGATAAGCACCGAGTATTGAAAAGTAGCGCCTCCCCAACAAAATCCTGTGTATAAGTGGTGTGGGTGAATGCAGGGTGAATTCCTGGGGGGTGATGACCCTGACACAAGGGCAGAATGGGGATTCCCCCCCACTGAGTGAAAGCAACTGGCCAGCTTTCTGACAAATGTTAGTTGACTGACTTCCCAGGCTATATGCTAAATTGTTGTCTTATTTTATCACCTTTGGTGATTGAATAATTCGTATTTAATAACAGGTGTCTGTAGTCACCTATTCCGTGGGCAAAGACTTTTGCAGGGAATCGAGGCATTAGGGGAAATACCTCAGAGGGGTCCCCCTACAGGCCGTGCATGTGCCTGCAGGCTACAAGGGATACACCTGCCTCACAGCTTAACATTGTTGTGGTGTCCAATAGCTCTGATGGACTGTTTCACTTTCATTTAAGGCAATTAACTTTTCAATTACTTTTCAATATTCTGAAAGATTATAGTTTTCAGGTTCTAGCTCCGGAATTATTCCTGGAACTTATTGGTTGCCACCCGCAAATCAAAAATTCAGAAATGTTAATTTATTCTTTATCAATACCGCCTATTGACAATCACATTCTATGACGATGAAATACTGATTTATCAACCTATCAGGTTACCCTAATATTTTTTAATGATGTGTTATGTTGAATTCTAAACTGTTAAAATTGGTAGAGAAGACACTGGGGTTTTTAGAGCTCGATAGTTTTATTTGATATTTGTCCTGCCTGTTTCAGTGGCATCTGCACGATCGGTCATTTCAAAGAAATGAAACAGAAAATTTCATTGACCAATGTGGCCAAAATAGAATGCATGCCTGACATGGATAAACATGGTTACACTACGGTAAAACAGATGTCTTACACTAAGCCTTGCACAGTAAATAAAATGATTCTGTATATTTCAGAATACTGAGCAAAAATACTTATACTCATCCTCTGTTTCAATAATGACAAAAAAAACATTCTCAGTCAAAAACCAAAACAGAATCTAGTTGGAAACCTCCTTTGTCTTGGGTGGTGATCCAAAGTTTTGGATTTCTTAGGACCATCGTTTAATGAGTTCATGTGCTCTTTCTTGGTGTCAGACAGTCACCGTTCCTCTCCCCAGCACAGCAGAAGCTACAGAGGGCCAGCAGGAAGTCCAAGTCTGAGGCCAAAGACCAACATTCCTGAGGAACAGGAAGATAAGGAGAGGTAGTCATGGTGTTTGTGGTTGAGTCTGGCACTTGCTGCATGTTCCTGACTGGATGGTCTGTTTCTCCACCCTGCTGACCCTCTCTAGTCCAGTCCAGCTTTGCAGACTTGCCGCCTCAGACTAACAGCATTTCTGTCTTCTAGGAACAAACGGACTTCTCATCTGACAGAAATAAGGGATGGCCAGCCTCGTGTTGGTAGAGTTCTCTCCCCGACCCAAAGGGGGCGCTCTAGGAGACCATAGTGCAGCAGCAGGCAGGGGACCATCGATGAACCCCAAGTCGCTGGTGGTCCCCATTGTCACTGACCCCTAGCAATAATCCTGCAGAAGGCATGATGAAGACCAAAACATTCCTTTTACACTTTTAAAAAGAAACTTCTTCAACATAAACATTAATCTGAAACAATCTTTTTCCATTGTTTCTTATTGGTTGTTCTATAATATTCATTCCTACCTTGTATTTGTCCTCCTTGGGTGCCATGATCTCCTAAATCTTTGGGAGTGTCCTGGGTGCCTCTCAAATTTAATGGTAGACAAGCTCAAAGCAAGGGGGCCCCTATGCACGTTCCTGAAAACAAGCAACAAATACCTGGTGTTTTCACAAATGTACTGGTTTGGAAAAGTACATTTGACATTTAACATACTGATACGTATGGACTTGTTTTCACAAGCCCGCCCAGCTAACTGCTGGCTGTAGAAGATCCCACCTGCCCAGGGGCCTTTGTGATGCGAGGAATCATGCGGGGAAGGCGCGACACGCCATGAACCCATCCTTACGCCTATGTTCGTCATATACGACATACATTTACCATCATATCCCGTTTCTTTCAACGTAAAGCTTTCCTGATAATCCGGGAGAAATCCTCTTACCCGGACTGGCTTTCCCTGTGGCAGAAAGTTGCGCACTTGCTGTCTTCCCTACTGGCGCACTTGCAGCGCTCTTTCTCCGCCCTGCGCTGGTCCGAAGACGCGGCGGCTGAGCGCTTTTGCCTCGGAGCGCTTCCCAGTCCGTAAGACACGGTGCGCCTGGACAGAAAGCAACGTCAATACAGTCGATCGGCATGCTTAGATCTGTAATATTATTTTAGACAGTTTAATTCTATGAAAGCGTACTCTGGCGTGTTGACCCAGATGATGTCGAGATGACAGAAGTAGACGCACTCCTTGTCTAGGAAACTTGCGCAGGAGCATCGCTTCGTCCTGCTGTGGTGCTCCAGGCGTCTGGTGCTGACTGCTGGCTCCTTAGCGAATGTAGCCGGCGCCACTGAGAGCAGTGAAAAAGTATGACACCGATCTCAGTATTTACGCTTTAACAGCCAAGCCACCTTAACACGCTTACACTTAAAATCTTAACGAGTAATTGGAGGGAAAATATTTTTTAAAGTTCAACATATTTCCCGTAAATTATTATCATTAATTAATAAACACTTTACAACATATTTTGTGACATCCTTTAGTTTCTATTAAGTTTTAAAAGACTTTCAAAATATCCGTAACGTACCTGGGTGTAAAAATCCAAAAGACATCACCGACAACACTGAGAAAATTAGGTGCAATTCCATCTTGATGTTTTTTTTTTAAGTTTCCAATGATTCAGAAACTGCCAGCAAAAATGTTAAACTGAGTAAAATTTCCTTACAACGCTCCGATATAAAGCGCATATAACTTTTCCCATGTGCGCTTTTCGCTGATGCCTGGACTGCTGTCTTAGTCCTTATATAGTCTCCAGGACCCCCCCCCCTCCTTCTCCCCGCTCAGACGCGTGTAAACACGCTTGTTCTCTGACATATTAGTAGACAAAGCTTTTTTTTCTAGAAGGTGCCGAAACGCGACTTGTAGATTGAGATAAGACATTTGCACTTGTACTTTCTGAGTGATGGAAGGACGGAGGGCGGCGCGACAGGAGGCTTGGCAAATATCTGGATGTGAATGGGGGCATTTTGCTTTCTGCACAGCAGATGGCGACACGACACCGCGAATATGCGGGCTGCTACATACAGTTCAAAAGTATCGACTCATTATCATTAATACTGTCTAAACGTTTCATCATGTCAATATGAGAAGAAGGTATACTAAATTAATGTAATGCTTGATAAAAATGCATGGCTTCTTAGAGAGTCTTTATTAGTTTGTCTTAAATGGCTTCATTATATGATTAAAAAGAGTAATATAATCAGTCTGACGGACATTGAGACTAAGTTCTTGATCATATAATTGAATGCAAAGAGAATCACGAAAAATCTCACCTGCTTAGCTCACGTAACATTCGCTACACTGTGCAGTTGTGTTGAGGAATTTTAAGCACGGACAGACGGTGTTTTGACAGGATGGACAAAATGAAACGGCGTCTTCTGAATAGCGTTTCAAGAAAAATATTTAGCTGTGTCCTCTGGCTAGTCCAGTTCCTCCCTGCACTCCAAAGACATTCAGTTATGCAGACCAGTATCTCTAAACTCCCCAGTGTGTGTGTGTGTGCCCTGTGGTGGACTGGAATCCTGCCCAAGATGTACCCCTGTCCTCTGCTTGTGATAAGCTCCAGCAACCCCCCCACCACCACCCTGTCCTGGAAAAGAATTTGAAGGATGGATGGATGAATTCCAAATTATTGATTTGCTTAAATTGTTATTTAAGCAAACAGTATCTACAACTCTATCCAATGCATGTTAACCAATATAGGGGGGATGTAGAAATTTCATCAGTAATCAGTAGATTACTGAACATATGGAATGAGTATCTTCTAGGCCTGTTGGCAGCCAGGATGGTACAGAAGCATCACAATTGATGTTCCGAAAGACTTGAAGTACAAAACAGTGTTTGAGCTTCTGAAGTGCCATGGTGTGTATCAGTTTATTTAGGGACATGCAGTCATCACCACATAATGACACATAGCACAATGGTCTAATTATTAATTACAATTTCCCACAGTTGTTCGGGGAATTTGAATAACTGTCGAACAAACAATATCGAACGAGAGTGAGAATTGACAGCCAAAGTAAGAGTGACTGTCGATCCTCCTCAGGGAATCACATCTTCCTAATCTTCAGCAGGAACATGAAGTGACATCCGTCATCTGGCTCCTTTGGGTCCATATTATTCAACCTGACACAACCCCTCCTGTTACGAAGGCAGCACATGAGTGGAGGGCTTGGTGAGGTAGTGGCTTGGATTTTGCCCTGCTTGTTCAGAGCTGACTGTGGAGTCAGGGAAAGAGCCCGAAGATGCTGCAGACCAAAGGAGAGCGGTCCCAGACACAGGCACTGTTCTGGGACAGCTCTTCCATCTATAGGTTCCAGCTTCCATTCAAGCAACGGGCTTATTTGCTCGTTTTGATGACTGTTTTTAGAGAAAAGAGCAATCTATTTGTAGCAGTCATTAAACACACAGAAAAAGCAGCTGAAAGCAATTATTGAAACATGCGGAGCGACTCCCAGCATGCAAGGCAAAGACCAACTCTCTGGCCAGGGTGTTAATCACTGTACCTGCTCATAAAACCAGCCCCTAAACCAAGCATGATTCATGAGCTCCCCCCCCCCTCAACACCACACCAAAAACAGTCACATTATCAGAATACTGCTTTGCAGGTCTTCAAACCATTTTGCTCAGTGGGCTTGGTTGCTTGGCAACACCCCAAATGTCCACTCCTTGCAGCCAAGGTCGTTGCAGTAACAACCCGTCTCCTCCAGGGGGCCCCGCTGGAGTGCAGAAGGGTTGGCATTCTTACGCTGTAACACTGCTAGGCACTCGCTGGATGGAGGAATGCGGGCTTTTATATTCCGCTGAATGGATACACATGGTCTCTGCTGGAAAGATGGTGTCTATCTTGCTGGAAGATAAACACACACACAGGACGGCAGAAGCTTTCTGAATGTGTGCCATTCTCAGCCTGCTGGTGTCTGCCACTAACTAGGATATGTCACACCGTCTGCGTGTTTGACTGACAGAACTTAAAGAAATATACACACAGCACACAGACAGCTCTTACACGTTTGTAAACAAAGCTTTACTGATACAGATCATAAGATAGATACCGCAATGTGAAGCTACAGTTACACAGACCAGGGGGCCTGGAGGCCTGGAGGCCTTGGTCAGCCGATGGAACACAATAAATAGATTCAACTCCACCATCTGCACTCAGAGACGCTGCCCCAAAGCCATAGAAATGGACATTCATCAGTGCAACATATAGAGTTTAGTTTTCCATAAATCTATTACATAAAACTTTTCAAAATATTTTTCCACTTCCATTTTATCCTGTCTTTTTTTTTTTTTCTTTTTTACATCTAGGTTCTCTGAACAAACACGACTACTGGATTTGCAGTGGATTATATACAGGTCCGTACACAAGGCACAACTGTCTATACAACATGTACAAAAAAGAAAAACGTCCAGAGGTGACAAAAAAAAAAAAAAGTCCAGATAAAAGTAAAAAGATTGGTCATCGTCATTTATGATTCACATACATGTCAAAAAATGTGCTTTAACAGAGGGACACATTTCAGAGACTCTGACCCCTTAAGTGTTGCCAGTTGTACAAACTGACCAGCATAAAAGGGAAAAAAAAAGTGACTTAAGTTAACGGGGGCTTTCAGGTGGCGATGACGAGTCTGTCCTCGTCGTCGCTCGAGGCGTCGTTGTAGTCGACCGTCACATGCTGCCTCAGGGTGTGCTCCTTGATGCCCCCTGTCGAAATGCCCTGTGCCGCTTTTTCACAACCATTCATGGGCTGGCATGAATTGGGCGGCGATGTGGCCCCCGCCTTTTGGGCAGCATCGCCAGCACCGGTGCTGGGTCTGCCGGCTGAGGTCACTTCCTGTTGGAGCTGCGTGGCAGGGCAGGTCACTGCTGAGGCGCCACCAGCCACTGGAAACTCGGCTTCCCTGTGGCTGGGGAAAGTGCTGGCACTCTCTGTGGTCCCCGAAGGCTCCGGCGGGGGCGGAAGTGGGCTGAGGGAGGGGATGATGGCCGGGAGGGTGAAGTTGAGGATTTGCAAGCTGGGCAAGTGCGTTTGGGGGGTGGGACTCCCTTGGGGGGCAGGGCTGCCTTGGGGAATAGGGCTAGCAGCCAGGACCTGCAGGCCGACAGCATTGATCGCAAGGCTCGGTTGGGGTAACAGCTGTGCAGGGGAGCCACCAGTGTTTGCCAGACCCATCAACCCGAGGGCGTCGAGACCCAGGGGCTGCAATGCTTGGGGTGGCCCTAGGGTCTGCAGTCCAGCCACGCCCACTTGGCCTATGGGCAAGCAGGGCAGGACGCCAGAGGGCTCTGGTGCAGCCTCAGCCTGCGAGAGGCCATCCGGCCCAGAGCCAGAATGGGGGCCGCTGCCCCGGTGGATGACACTCACAGCTGGGATGGTGAGCTGCACATGACCAGCCCGAACAGGCACAAAGGTGGAGTATGCAGCCAGGCCGGCCGGGACCAGTTGGATGCCACCCACAGGCACCATGCTGTAGGGGGTGCGGGCAGGCTGCTGCGAGTGCAGAGGCAGGTGGCTGAACAGGTGCGCTGTCCCACTCGCCCCGCCCTCGGGAATCTGGCTCTGGGGCAGGAAGTGAAGAGGACCTTGGTGGGAATAGGTGGAGCAAGGTAGGATGCTGGTCTGGGTGCCACGGTCGACTGGAACGCCTGCCTCCCCAGTCTGAGATGGGGTGTTCAGAATATCCTGAGAAAAGGACAAGTGAGAGTTACTCACTACCACCCATTCTATGACTTAAATGCTTGACATGAGCAGAGGTAGAAATTCAGGTCCAGAATGGAAAAATCCAGACCAAGGCCTTGCTTCAACCAACCAGTTGTACAGTACTTTGTGATTGTGAGTCTTTATGCTCAACTGGTTGGCTGAAACAAAACCTTGGTCTGGATTTTTACATTCTCGACCTGAACTTTCCACCTCTGGACATGAGTGTGAAATGAAATCATTGGCCTCACCTGACTGGGCTTTGGCGGGGGATCGCTCGGGGGGCTCACTGGGACCTCCGAATCTGGGTAATCGATGGACATTTGCCTGCAGGGAGAGATGGGGCTCATCATGGTCACCGACTCGGTGTCAGAGGTCTGGCAGTCGGTGGTTGGGGCTGCCGCAGGGGGTGGGCTGTTCGAGAGAGACATCTGGGCCAGCAGGGCGCTGGGTGGGATGCTGGCCGGGACAGACGGCACATGCTGCGGGCTAGCGGAGACGGACGGCGTGGCCGAAAGGCTGGACTCCGCCTGGCTGTCTTCTTCGTCTTCCTCCTCCGCATCATTGTCCTCATCATCCGGTCCGTCAGACTCATCTCCATCAGAGCCGGGCCTGTCTATAGCCACCATCCGCGTTCTATCTCCTGAAAGAACACAGCTGAATGTGAGTTTTGTGGCCAAACAGCATTATGAGTCCAGCTCTTTGTAACGAGAAGCCTTTGTGTGCCTCAGGCCATTGATGCAGCGGCTATGGGAGTTTAACATTAGCATCGCGATGCTATGCAGCAGTATGCAGATCAAAAAACGGTGTGGTCTTTTCTTTAACTAAGAAACTGAGTGAAAAATTAATGTTTAATGTAACTTTATCCGTAACGTTTATGTAATGTTTTCATGAGAGCTCTGAAACCGACAGCAGGTAGCATAGCAGCATAACTAGCTTTATTACCAAAAGGTCACAGGCTCCCAGTGAGAGTCCTGCAATAATGACAGTGATTATTATGACAAAGTGATTGGATGAGACGGGGCTGTGGACACAGGAAGTGTCCCACACACGCCCACAGAAACAGCCTCAGGACAGGATGAAATAAACACTCCTCCAGCAACAGGGAGCCCAGAGCCCCCAGCATCTCTGCTAATATTAGAAGCTGCAATTTCCTCTTTCCACACGCTGTACATGCCGCCCACATGCACTCTGGGATAGGAAGAGAGAGCTGCATTCGGCATAGACAATTAGACTGTAGCGCAGGCATCGATTACCACAGCTGCACGGCAAAACAAACACAATCCGCTGTTAGCGCTTGTCGACGCTATTGTTATGAACACAAAGCAAGGTGCTCCTGTTGTCAGAATCCACAGGTCTTCAATCAGCGGTTGGCAAATTTGCATGCGGTTTTTACATGCGCTTGCTTTATTTATACAACGCATTAATATGCGATGCATTGATCCGCAATGCATTATTCTGATACTGACTTGTATTTGCCATTTCTAAAAGCCGTTTCTATAAAGGTACTTCTATTAGAAATAGTAACATATTTGTGTACAGGCTCGAATTATGGTCCATTGAAAATAGGATTCTGACTGATTAATACATGAGAGAATCTGCAATGACAACGGAGACCTTAAGCAATGGCCTAATACACCACCTAAAATAAAGATTACTGCTAAAAACTGAAACTTTACCTGAATCCTCAGTATCTGCATCTTCTACCGGGCTCACCGACACCCCCATCTCCATGCATTTCTTACTATGGGTCTTGGACTTCATATGCTTGGTGAGATTTCCTGTGGAGACAAAGGACTTGATCAGGCTCTGTTCGAGGTTGTCCTGACCCGGAGAATGAGTCCAGGTCTACCTTGGCACGATCAGCAGAGATCGCTCACTCTTGCAGTAGGAGTTTTGCTTACGCATTTTTCTTAACTTTGTTGATCATCTGACATGAAAAGCGTCAATCCCCCCGAGTCTGTTCTTCCTCCGCCATCGACAAAAATACGTCACATTGTCACAGCCACTGTGGGTTCTGCTTCAGCACCTGCCAGTTATTCTCACGCACCCTCCCCCACACAAACACACACGCGCATATATACATGTGGAGCTCGTATATGTAGATTGTGCCTCTGGCTCTGCCAGGCTGTGTCTATCATCCAACTCATGGAAGAGAAGTTCTGAAAGGCTGCAGGCATCATTTGTCCTCTGATCACTTCCACAGTCGTGTGTGGGCAGACCAGTTAAGTTAGTGAGTCACATTTGGCTCTTGTTGAAGTTGAGAAGCAATAATTCTTGGAAAAACAAAAAATGAGGAAATTTCTTTCAAATACACACTGTGTTAAACAAATTCCAAGGCCTCTGAAAATGTGCGTGAAAAAAGTGAAGGATTTAGACCAGGGTTCTTCAACTCTGGACCTCGATTCCAAATCCAGGCCTTGTTTTCAGTTCTCCCAGGTAGTTGTTTAATAATTACTGATTCTGATTGGTCAGAGGCTTCACACCTGACTGACAGGTAAAGGAAGGCTGGAAAACTAGCAGTGCTCGGACCTCGAGGACCGTGAGTTGAATAACCCTGATTTAGACCAATGGTTGCTGGTTGCTCCACAAAAACATTGGAGACCCTTGATTTAAACTGAGCAAAGGCAATAAGCAAATAAAGTGGACTGGTCTGGTCCAGCTGGTACAACTAACCACATCTTAATCTGCTAGAATTCCCCAAAGCTGCTCCAAATTTGGCTCCAAGCCCTGGACTGAATCTCAGGATCTGGAAATATTCATTACTGTCCATGTGTCAGTGATCCTCCAGTATAACACAGAACAGCTCATCATCAGCAGCTCACCTTTGGTCTTGAAGGAGAAGTTGCAGTCTACACAGTGGTAGGGCCGGACATCACTGTGCGTTCGAATGTGCTTCCGCAGCATGCTGGGCTTCTTGCAGCGGATGCCACACTCTTCACAGATGTACTTCCCCCGGCCTCTTCCACGCACATACACATACTCTTCGTTGGACTTGTATCTACCACCGGAAAGGAAGGGGTCAATGTTTATGTTTAATACTAACACTACAACCATTGCTTTAAGAGCCAATTTTGATATACCCGCCATCAAATATTTTGACTCGTCTTGGCTCAGTCTTGGAAGAAGAAGATTCTCTGTCTGATTCATTACTCTGTTGAGCATCTGACTTGACTTTACTGGTGCTCTCCTTAGGCTTGGGTGTTTGAGGGGTTAAGACCTATGAATAACAAGTACTGTAAGTAGATTGCAATGATACAACTATGAAAATATAAAGACACCAATATAAACTACTCAGTACAGTTTTAAAGAAAGTCTTTACCTTAGGCAAGCTGTCTTTTAGCTTGCTGGAGTACGTCAAGATGTCAGATTTCAGGCTTGTGGTTATGGCTTGTGTGTAGTGCATTTTCTTAGCTGTCTGTTTGGAATCGAATAAAGACATAACCACTTTGGTAGGCAGACCCAGTGGGTTTGGGTTGGTTTTGCTGATGGCCCAGGTAGAGTATGCCGATATCCTGTGGTCAGTTTGGGGAATGTGGAGAGGCTTCCTCTTCATAAGGTAACACCAGGTGAAGGATGTTGTAGTTTTCAGACTGGGGAAGGACAGGCGGTGGCTGTCTCTGGTGTTGACCACAGACACAGAAGAGACCAGTTTCACCTGTCCATGGAAGGTTGCTGGCCTCAAAGGAGATTTTCCAGGGGACTTCCTCTCCTCACTCTTACCTAGCGACTTCAGTGTAGAGTTAGCTGGCAGACTGGAAGACGCTTGGTGGCCTGGACTTTGGAATGCAGGAGTGGACACCTGATATGTTGCATCTCTGTTAGTTTCAGTCTCATGTACAGATCTTGTTGTTTCTTCTGGCTTCTCTTGATCCAGCTGAGGACTTTCAGAACTGACTGGGCTATCCACTGACTCAGTGGTACAGACTTGTCGAACTAGAATCAGTTTCCGTTGCCTGGTCACTTCCGCCATCTTGGAGTTCAAGTAACTGAATGATCTGCCATCAGTGAGGCAGGCAGCGCTGTGATCATCTTTCACCCGTTTCTGATGTTTCTCCATTGCAATGTCCAGGCTGTTAGCAGGAGAAAGCATACGTTTGCTGGAGGCCGTAGGCTCCTGCTGTGGACACAAGGCCACTTTCTGAGAGTACTGCAAGCCACCTGGTGTAGTTCCCTGTTGGATGTCACTTACAATATTCTGGTTTTCTGGAACTGAGCCAGAATTTATCTGACTAGCGGAGACTGGTGGCCTGTCTATTTGAATGTGTGTTGAATTCTCAACGTCACTGTCCATGGATTGAGGGGGTTGGTTATGGCAAGCTGCTTTTGTGGAAGTGTTCAGCTGCTCATGGGTGACTAGAATTTGTGGCAGAGGAGTGACACCTGTCCTGTTGAATGAGGACAGATTACCTTGAAGACAAATCGGCAAGACAATAGGTGCTGCTACCTGGTGATTCTGTGGAATCACACATACATTCTGAATTCCATCTGTTGGCTTAGACACACTAGCAATCTCATTAGCCACAGGAAGACTGCTGACAGGCGGGCTGATCTGCATGACCTGCGTGCTTGGGAGTGAATATGTTTGGCTTGTTTTTACGGCAGAATACTGCAACTGGTATTTGGGCACAAAGTGTTTATCCTGCGAGTTAAGAGAATTGTTCTGAAAATCCTTGGAACCTGACGCATCATGGACTGAAAGCTGTTGTACACTTTGGCACATTACCCTGGTGGATTGGTGCCAGGGATGTGGAAGGCCATGAACTGTAGGGTGTTGGGTCTGGCTTCCTAAGTTGATGCTCTGAACTGTGGGTCCAGTTGGCTGCTGAAGAGATTCTACAGGACTTACTTGGTGGGGAATAAGAGGCTGTGCAATAACAGGCCTTGTAGCAGGCCTATGTGGAGGAACAGGCACTGCATTTGCTGATGGATTTCTATGCAGAATCTGCTTCCCTGCCTGCTGCTGACTCTCTGGTCCAATTTTTAGGGACATCTGACGAACAAGAGGCCCCCTTCTCCTTTCGAGGAGAGGCACTTGGACCCCTGATGGAGCCTGTGGACTCTTTGGCAAGACTTTCTCTAGAGGTGACAATGATCTGGTAGGTGATATTGTTCCACAATCAAAAGACTTACTACGATAGTCTGTGTCAATCTCCCCCGAGGGCTGAGTACAGCTAATCTGTTCTGATGCAGCTCGTCTCATTACTTTAGAGTCAGGAACACCCAAGGTATTGTTAACTAAAGACAACCCTTGAAACTCTGGAAGTTTGATAGCACACTCCACCCTCACTGGGCTCTCAGAACGGGGCAGGTCATCTCGATCAAATGATGCAGAAATACTGGAACCTCGAGACAAACTACTGTCTCTGCTAAGACTGCGGGACAACGTGGACTCAAAGCTGGATTCTCCAGAGGAGTGCTCCATTTGAGCTAGCCGTATCCTCTTCTTTTTAGGGGGAAGCTTCTCTGTGGGCAACTTAGAAAGGCTTTCACTTCTCTGGGGCCAGTTGAATGTTTCCAAATGTTTCTCTGGCTCGTGCCCCAGGCTTTCCTGTTCTCTGTCAGGTTCCTCTGTCACAAGAATTTCTGGCACCTGGATGTTGTTTTGGCGTACCAGACGTGACTGCTGCACTGGAACAGAGCTTTCAGGTGGCACTGATGCTACGTGGTCAACATGCTGATCCACAATAGGTCTTTCTGTGCTAGCACATTTCTGTAATGGTGCTGACTCTGGCTGACTTTCTCGCACAGTACTTGATGAATTTCCAGTTACCGTTTTAGTCATGCTCTGGGTTTCTCTGTCCAAAATATCAACAGGAGAGGATTTGTCAATGGACTCAGATGTTTCAAAAGAATTAGGCCTACTAAGAGAATTTGTGTGTCGAATGACAGATGTCCCACTACCTTGCCTCTGTACTTCTCGCTCTTTACTACAGATATTAATTTGAGTTTCCCTAATTGGAGATAATCTTGACTCTGACGTTTCAGTGCTTCTTGCAATTAATTGCATGTGAGGGACCTGTGACAAATTGCTGGCGGATTGCAAATCCAGTAAGACAGAATGCTGAGAAAAGATTCCAGTCCGAACATCTTTGGACATTTGGCAGGAATCAAAACTTCCAGAACAAGGAGGGTTGGTGTCTGTTGGGGACTGGTCATCATCATCACCGACACTTTTCATTTTCCTTCTTTTTCTCACTGCTGAAACTTGTTCCATCAAACCAGGCACACCCACTGTCCCCTGGAACACCTGGGATTGCTGCACATTTCTGAGACACTGGTCTGGATCAGTCTCCCGAACAGGGACAGACTTATTTTTTGGTCCATGAAGCTCAGAGCAGTAAAACTTTTTGTGATTTTCAAAGTTTTCAAGTTTCCGGTATCGATTGCGACAAGTCTCACATTCGTACATTGTGCCTTTGTTTTGCTGGGGCTTTTTGCTTCTTTCAGGTGCAGGTCCTTGTTCGAAGGACTTGCTTCTTTGCAGAACCTCATTGTATATATTAGGTCCACGGTAGCCCTCATCCATGGACCGGGCAGAAGAAAGGCTGTGTCCTTCAGTGGCAGAAGAATCTTCAATTGCAATCTGTCTTACAAGCGTGCGTGGATGCATTGCTGGATTAGGAGTAGGAGGGGCCGATATGAATACATCATCATTACTAGAACTAATTTTGTCATCGAATGACTGACAGACTCTCAATGGGTGGGGTTGAGGAGCAGCTTTAATGGGAATAGCTGAATATCCTGGTGTTGTAGGCATTGAATTGCTCCTTGTTATTGGCAAACAGTCCATTGATGGATACTGAGAAGGGACAGATAAGAGAAACACTTGCTTAGATTTGTCGGTGGGTGTAAATGGAGATTTGGGTATGTCAGAACTAGAGCTTGATCTTCTGCCCATTGGTTTGAGGTCAAACTGAAAAGAATCCTTGAATATGTATGATTTGGGGGAGTCTATGCTTCCACGTCTTGACAAAGAAGTCCTTCGAGGCTTTACACTGTCCAGCTGTTTGTCATCTACGACTGCTTCGTTATCTGATATCAACTTTGAAATGTGTTCTTCAAGTGAGAGTGCTTTAGTCTCTAATGGAGGACGAATCTGTCGCTGTAAAGCAGGGGGCTTCTCCACACAGCTGGCCTGCATGACTGTTGCCACAACTGTAGCAGAACTAGGTAACATATTTTTGGACACATCCATGTCTGTTGGTGGTATAATCTTGACAAATGGGCTAGGGGGACTCATTGCTTGATCGGCACTTTCAGAACGTGAGAAGTATCCAGAGTCTGTGCTGCCCAAGCTGCGGGGACTCAGCAAACATTTGCCTTGCTGTTGTTGAGAGAAGTCAGTTGCCTGCTGCCTTTGTAGCTGTGCATGTCCCCCCCCTGGAGGTGACTTGCAAACCTGGTCCTCAACCTCACTTATCGCCTCTTGCGGGGGACTGGTGCAGTCCACCTCTTTCAAAGAAGACAAGACCTTAATGGTGGGACGCACACTCATTGTCTGAAACTCTCTTTGCCTTTGAGCTGTGGCTAGCTCTGGGGTGGAATCTCCAGCTCTCGGACTGTCTGCTCGCAAAGGGGAGACGTTGACCGGATGGACAACTACTTTTGGTAAAGTTGCTTTAGGCTCAGAGGGCTTCTGGTTGTTCACAGATTTCAGAGTCTCAAGGACAGCAGGCAGCTCAACCTCACCCTGTCTGTCTTGTGTGGCACAAGCGCTCTGCAAACTGCTCTCAGACAAAGCTCTGCTGCTGCTCTGTGAACAGTCTGGGTCCAAGTCAGCGACGCTTTCCTTGTCACTTTCAGCACTCTCTTCCACATCAGAGTGTGTGCCGAGACCTTTGTCCGATTCTTGAGACAAGGCTCTACTTCCAGAATCAGACCGCACCACCTTGCCCAGTTTTATAGCATGCGCATGGGATTTCTTATGCTTGTACAAGTTACTCTTTGTTTTGAACGAGAAATCACAGGTGACACAAGGATAGGGCCTTTCACCTGTATGAGATCGCTTGTGCTTGAGCAGGACACTAGGTTTAGCACATGCCCGGTTGCAGTATTCACATACATACTTCCCCTGCTTCTTCGGTTTTTGATCCTTGCCAGATATACTGGAAACTTGCTCCAGACCAGGGTTAACAATTGTGGCCATTTGAACCTGGTTGTATCCAGGCGTGACTGGGACCTGAATTGTACTGGGCACACTGGCTGAAACAGACTGACAGGTGTAGACTACTGGCTGGCTCTGAGGCAGGGCCTTCTGACTAGGGGGAACCGGTGTGTGAGTCAGGGAGGCAGCAGGCACAGCACCATACAACTGCTGAAGGTCATGCTTCTCTCGAGGGTGGTTAGCAGCTGCTGGCGAAAACTTCATGGCATTGTGCTGCGAGTTTGTCTGGTTGCTCTGCGTTGGTACCTCAAGCGGCTGGAATTGCAGGGGTGCGACTTGTCCGGCAGTATCTCCACTCGCCAGCACCACCTGAGGTCTAGGGTAGTAATGTGCCGGTATTGGCTGGGACGGGATGCCATAGCTGACAGCTGGTATAGCTGCAGAACCTTGTCCGGTGGGCTGTGCAGCAGGAACCGGGTCCACTTTCCCAATCGGAGCCCCAGGGAAGGAGCTCTTCTGTCTCGTTAGGGAACTAAGGTCTGGCTCCATAGCCTTGAGCAAGACCTCAAGGGGAGCACTTGAGTGCGAGGGCAACCCACTGTCAGCCTGGCTCATCCAGTCCTCTTTCAGTTGAGTACCCTCTGCATCCTTCCCTCCTTTAGACAGAGCACACGATGCTGGTTGGTTGTGGGTCACCTCAGTCTGCATTAGCCTCTCACAGGCAGCTGGGCTGGGTGTGGCCTCCCCCTTCAACCTCCCAGCAGTCTGTGGCCGCACCTGCAGTATGCTGTCTGTGTCTCCATTTTTGTTGGAAGAATCGGTTATATTTTGGGAAGAGCGCCTGGAAAAGGAACAGGAGGCCGTTGGCTCCCTGGATTCCCGGAAGGTCCCTGCCTCTGAGGGCTTGGACTGTGGAGGCTTTTTCACAGGAGACTTTGGGACCTTCTTCTGCTGGTTCTCCCCAATTACTTTTTTCCTCTTCAAGCCCTTAACTTCTGCATGTCTCCGGCCACTTTCACCAAGACCTACAATTAATAAGGAAAAAAGGACATGACATAAAAGCTGCTAATCATTCATTTTTCCACTGCCAGTACTCTATATGCATATCATCCATTTTGTACTATACCTCGTTTTAGTAAAATAAGGATGTTATTTGGGGTGAAGTTTGCATGTTGTCTCCATCATGTGGGTTTCATCTCAGTATGTACCTTAGCATCTCTAAATTGCACATAGCGTATAACTGTCTGTGTGCATATTATTATATATATAGGTCCCCTGCAACCCTGTTCAGCATAAGCAGTTGGATGGTCACACTCAGCTTAGAACAATTATACAGTTAACCAATATGGCTATGTAATGGTAATTAAGGTTCACTTTCTAAGACTCTGATCTGGCAAAAGACCACTAACACATCTTATCAATTTTAGGTGTTGCCCATCTGCATACCTGGAATGCGTTATTATTTCTATACAAGCTGTATAAATTTATTAACTGCACGGTACAGTTAAAATCTCAATTAAATGAACATGAATTAAGTCAACTAATTAAGAGTTAATCACAACAAATAGCAGCATACACAATGTGCCCCTGGCCCACGCCATCAGGACGCGGTGAAGCATGCAGCCGCATGTGCAGTTTTTCCTCGTTCACGAAAACCCCACACTGAGCCACAGGGCCTCCTGACAACCTTCCAGTCCTTAAAGCTGTTACAGCATCTTCGCATCGCCAGTGAAGATGCATCAGTAGCTAAAAGTGGCAAATGAGGTAATCCCTGTCCTGCTTCCCAGTGCAGCTCCAATCTGGCATCCACCTACCAGGTACCCACACAGCGTACCCAGGTCTTACGTCAATCTGCACCATTTCCAGTCTCCCCTGTCCAGCACACTCATGCTCTGGCAGACGCTCGGATGATGGCTTCTGTGACGCTCCGATCATTTGCGAGCCGTGCCAGGACAGCTGAAGGTACGTTACCATGGCGAGGACTCCGCACAGGGGCAACACGTGAGGCACCCTAATCAACCTTGGAATGCTACGTCTGTGTCTGCCGGAGAGCTTTACCCAGCTCACTCACATATAGTCGGCGAGGAGGAACCAGACACACGAGGAGCCATTTCTAACTAAAACCCTATTATTCGGTAAAAAAAAACAAAAAACAAAAAATAAACGGTGGGGAGAGGCCCACTTCCAATGCTGGGGTGGGATTAGATTTTAGCCAGCGACCTTCCCGTCTCTCGGAGATGTCAGTCATGCTGCATTCCGGCACATTCTGCTCCTGCCGAAGCAGCAAATCATGGCATTCAGTTCAGAAGTAGGACTACAGAAGCATTTTGCAAGACTTGATAAGATGCATCTCATGCCATCACCCGTCACCCCCCCCCTCCACCCCTGCTACTGAGTTCTTCTTATTTATAAAGCCACGCATCAGTGTCGGAGTCCCTAGCCCAGGATATTTTTCCATTCGGTGGTCCCTGGTTTCAGCGAGGTTGGAAACCTCTGCCGAAAAGAACCACTAAAACGACTGTCATCGGAATCAAATTTATTCTCACCTTTCTGGGTAATGTTGGGCTCTTTCAGTTCTTTCTGTGCCTCTTCTATCTTATCTGTGGGAACAAGAGAAGCAGTGTAAGCGGATACTGTATGCACAAGCATCCACACACAGCGAGGGTGGAGGAGCTCCCAGAGGAAGGCAGAACAGCGGGCACCGTCACAATCTATCCTTGCTCAGAAAAGAGTCCTTATTTGTGTTTAAAGGTAAAACATATATCTGTGTGTGTGTGAGTGAGTGAGTGAGGGCCTGAATTGTGCCTCCTGGCTTCTGCACGTCCGGCCACAGCTGCCGGGGAACCATGGAACTCGCTCCCTTGACTATGGAGGAAACTGATCCCATCGCCAACGGTGACCTACAAGCCATCTCGCTGACCTACGGTCCAACACCTTCTTATGTTCTGATCAGACATGGCATGGTAGCTGACACTGACCCCCCTGAACGTACCCTGTTATACCTAAATGGGCTCATCTTCATGACCACATGACTGCAGTCATTATCAACTCCATCGGAGCTACATGCAGACGAACGCTTCCCGTGATTTTTACACTTGGAAGACATTATTCATATGGACTCAGAAAGCCGTTGCTGGTAGTAGGGTGACTGATTCACGCGTGAGTCACGCACCCGTGGGACTACGCCCACTGCTCGCTATGCAGCCCTCGGCAGCAGGGCGGGGGCACGTGGGCACTGAGCGGCTGGCAGGCAGGCTGTAGGTCACGGCAAAGCCTGAGATGAACAAACAGCTGGGCAGAGCGAGGACCCACGCTGCGTGTGTTACGCTAGCAGCTGCTCCAGCCAGTGACTGTGCTTTCATAACGCCTAGTCTAATGTCGTAGCTATACTGCAGGTGCACCACAAGGCTTCTCCCAGAATTCCTCAGAAATGAAAGCGAGAGGGGGCCACTTCCTGGAATTTCAGGATGCTTCGCGTAAATGCCTGACTAACAACATACAATACAAAAATACATGGTTTGATGGCTGTAATGGCTACAAATGTCCAAACTGAATGGAGGAAGGTTTCCGGTGGCCGAACCCCCATCAATACTGTCCGCACCTTAGGGTAAATATTATGCCCCCGTACGGGAAAACGCTTGACCCTGATTCATTTACAGTTCCCTGAGCCGATATAGAGAGGCCTGGTCCCATAAAGGAGCTTGAAAAGCAACCAGCATAAAAACCCACTGAAAAGTGAAAGCACCAGCACAGTTTATGCACACTCTATAAAAGCACTCCGCACCCAGACTGACCTTGTGACATGGAATCTCTCAGCGTGTCTCCATCATGCTATGGGTCAGCGTGGCCACACTCAAAGCAGGCAATCCATTGATATCTATTTCAGTTCAGACGCAGCCTGATCAGAGCCTAGTGACGCAGTCGAGTCCTACCCGCCTGTACTGAACCACATTCCTGAAGATAAACCTGTCAGAGCTGCAGTCAAGCCACACCCTGCCACCTGGGCCCCCATGTGACTGAGCAGCCTATCACTGGGGCCCATCATTCTTCAAACCACCAATCAGGCAGGCAGTCCTCCTCCCCTAAGGTTGTCCCTGGAATCTCTGGTTGCTTTTAGTTGGTCTTCTGACACTAGCCCACTGCTTCCTGTCTCCTGAACCCTCCTCCTGGTTTCCACCTTGCTCTATTACGGACCGTGCAAGTGTAATCTACGCATTATGCATTGCATAATAGAGCACAGCATAGTACTATGATACATATACTAATGGGAGGAGCCAAACAACAACTGTACAAATTGTACAAGAGGAGCCAATCACAGTAGAAGCAGGCTATTGCATTCAAACAGCAGGACCTAAACATCCATGATGGCCAGTCATGACTCTCATGGTAATGCTAAGGGGTAAAACCCTAAAGGGAGTCTCCCTCTGCAACACGCTTTGAAGAGGATAACCCCGGCTGAGCGGCATAATCCCAGACCCGCCTGTTACATAAAGCCCCCATATATTTATGTTGGAAATTAGCATCTTACAACGAGAGCTTTCCCGCCCATGCAGAACACTTAGGTGTCGACCAATCACACGGCACCTCCCACTACACCGGGGAACGCTCGTCAAACTGGCTAGTTAAAAAGGATGGTGCTGCTCACACAAACTAATTTTAACTGCTGCTACCAGCAGGTAATTGCATATCCTTCAAAGCCTACTTACGGTTTCCTCTGAGTGCTACAGTTAGAGTAGATTTAATGGGCAGATCTACCTAAAAAATAAATACGTACCACCGTTTGCGGTCTTATTGTGGAATTATTTAATCTAACCATGGGGGCAGCAATTACACAAAAGCACACGGTCAATGCGGCTATCAGCACTGCCGGTTGGTCCCGCAGAGCCATTCCGATAGACTGCAGTGCTTCACAAACACCTTTTTGACACCCGGATGGCAAACGCAGAGGCAGCCTGCCAGACACTGAACTAAAGGGGCCTGAAGGAGGATGCCCCAAGTCTGCCCATCAGCCCGGAGGGCACTGGTGCCGGCGCTGGTGCTGGCGAGACCTCCAAGGCCGCGGGGGACATTGCTTGCTGTAGCTAGCATGTTCTACCGAGTGTAAAACCACGCATGGCAATCCCGGGAGGCCGCATCTGCTATTCCTCTCTGCAGCCTCAGTGCCATCTTGCTTCGCAGAGGGGGTCTCCCCCCCCCCACCACACACACACACACACACACACACACACTCACAGACACTCACAGACAGGGCTGCAGATTCATGCGCTTCACTCTGCCAGCCCACATGGCCACAGCTTTGCACTCGAGCGAGAGAGAGCGAAAGAGGGGACTCCCACAAGCGCCGAAAGTGCCAGAAATCACCACTAAGCAGAGGAAAGCAAGTGGGGGGGGGGGGGGGGGGGGGGACGGGAACAAAAAGCAAACCCCCGTAACCCCCCCCCCCCCCTCAGCAACAGCAAGGCCCCACCAAGCATAGAGTTGCAAGCGACACAGACCCATACCTGCTGGATAATCACAGGCCACAGAAGGAGCAGAAAGAGCAAACAAGCTCTGCTGTTACCACAAGCCTCCGAAAAAAAGACAAATAACTTCCTCTCGTCTGAATAGTCCCTGCTGTTGTTGACGGTGATGCAGCCAGCATAGCTGCTCGAAGCGCAACTTCCTCAAACTGCGTCTCCTGGCTTGTCCAGACCGAACAGAAGTTGCCAATAACCTACAATCTGGCTATGCACTTATCAAAAAAATTCACTGTTCACGTAGCAGGAAGACGGGGGGGGGGGAAGTAAAAGAACATTTTAAAGTATATAACAAGCGTGGCTGCACAACAGGGCGGAAAGTCTGAGAGACACTCAGCCAGCGGCAGAGCAGTGTGGCAGCGATTATTCAGATTAGCTCCGACACACGTCTGCATGCACATGCACGCAAAACAGACGGACTCGCTAAATGGCATCGCTGCGGCAGACCAATTACATTCGCTGGCCTGTCCGCTATGCAAATGAGCTGTGCTCCGGTTGGGTGGCCGGAGATGGTGGGAGGCGGACCCCAACGGCCTGCTATTATGTAACAGGGAGACTCGTCACGCCGCCCGGTGACCCCAGTTAGCACGACGCATTTGGGTGGGGTCGTGAACCCTTACTACACTCTGAGCAACAGGTCTAAATTGGGACTAGATCCATCTTTAGAAGAGGGGAACAAACACACACACACACGCTGCGTTTGACTGACCACTGGAGGTAATACATGCTACAGAAAGGCACGCGCACACACACACACACACTTAGCCTGGTGAAGAAAGCGAGCAGGTGAGGGGCGAGCGAGAGAATCTGAGACAGTGCCCCCAAGCTGGTGCTCGATCCACAGACTTGGGACGTTCAGCTCTCAACACCAACTGGCATTAATGTGAAGAGAGAGACTGCCGAAGCGAAGCAGGCAGGAATGCCTTCGCCACCGTCCCGCTAAATCCCAACGCGATTTGCACGCACGCTGCACACCTCGCACACTCACAGGCGCACGCCACCCTACCTGCTGCCCCTTGAGCTCTGCCGCTGTCCCTCCTGAGTCCCCTGGAGGAGAGGAAGGGGGGTTTGGGGGGGGGGCGTCCCTCTCGCTAGATCAGCTCGCTGCTAGGAGCTCAATGAAGAGGCAGCCAGAGTGTCAACATAGGCTTAGCTGCTAACCCAGCCTCCCCCGCCCCCGAGCCGCTGCGCACACGCACACACTGCGAGCGCGCCGGCTGCGTTTGCCTCTGCCTGCGCAGCTGCCACTGTGGTTTCTGAGGTGCGACACAAACAGCAAAGTAACAAATTTATAGAAGAAAACACACAGAGCGAGTTCACGCGGAGCAGCCAGCGCTCTGACACACGCAGTGCACGCAGGCTGACACGACGGGATCCGCTGCGGGACCGGCTCGGCCGCATGCGGGGTCTGGGTGGTGGGGGTCAGCTGGGGGCCACGCGCACGCAGGACAGGCCCGTCACAGCCTGCCAGTCCACAAGCTCAGCCCCAGAATCCACCCCCGCCACGTCTCCATGGCAACAGTAGCTGGAGGAAAAGACGGCCCACGTTATGCAAGAGCATGAGCCGCTGCCAGCGGGACGGCCCGCCTCGCTCGCCCTCTTGCGTGTGCAAGTGTGCATGTGCGCACACCACTTTCGAACAGGAAATCAGAGCGACGTGCTGCAGGAGGAAAACGCAGCGACAGGGCCGGCCAGGGGCATCCCCCCCCCACCCCCCCGGGCTGGGCACCCGCCCTTTGCTGGGTCATTCCAGCAGGCCAGAAAGCCAGACATTCCGACTCAACAGGATTCCTCATTACCAAAGTCCCCAGCCCTCTGCGGGCAGGTGGGGGGGGGAGGGGGGGGACACCTCGCGAGAAGCCTGTCCCCAAGTGCGGGCTCCTGGGCTACCCCACCCCATGTGTTTGTGTTCGCGTGCGGGTGTGTATTTACGTTTGGCTGTGGCTTCCTTCCGGCCTGGCTTGGTTAGAAACCTCCATTTTCTGCTGTCCCCCCCTTATAGGAGGAGACTCCAGTAGCAGGACGCGGCGAACTGCACCTGCACACAAAGCTCATGCTGCTCCGTCTCCCTGGCAACCGCTACAGTACATCGAGTTCCACTTATACAAGCGCAGCTCCAGCATCCGCCTTTCCACACGCGCGCGCACTCACATCTGATCGGGGGGCCCTTTCCGCCGACGTTCCAGGGGGGGCTCCGCATCTCAGCGGGAGAGGGGGGGCATGCAAAGGGACCCCCCCCCTCCCCTCCCCAGGAGGCACGGGTCAAAGGAAGCGTCATGTCAGGTGATGCGTGTGCCCCAAACACGTGCGTGTGCACGCCGCCCAGCGTGGAAACACGACACGCCACTGCTGCTTCGTGCGCTGATGCTCCCGCACGTGGACCGCGGCATGGTCACAAAAAAGCCCGACGACAAACAACATGTGCCCCTAAACGGACAGCACATGCGGCCGTTGCTCTGTGTTGTTTCTGGGTCTCTCAGAGGAGGCTAAAAACAAAAAAGGCCGCATCCTCCGGGCCCCTCAGACCTTTTGTTGCTGAAGTGAAAGTTTCATTGCGGCTACCAGCACGTTAGCCAGATGTTCCAGGACTGGTTTCAGTTGCTCTGTTGTAGTTACTGTTGCTAAAACCCTAAGCTTTCATGGCACAGGGAGAGAGGTTCCCTAGGTACCCATCACGCTGGCTATGTAAACTCTAATTTGAGGCGCAGTAAGGAAATACCGGTTTGGCTTCATTAGTCAGAAACATGTAAAGTCCCTGTGGTAGCCTGTTAACCCCAGCACTGCCCTCCCACTCCACTCGCAGAAGAGAGCGGATTTATCCTGATCCCTCTGAGGAATGTTCATAACACAAAGGGGGAGGGGGGGGGATTCCGGCTGGAACGACCGACACTGCCGGTAATTATTCCGATGACATCGCGTTTGTTTATTTACTACTGAGAAAACAGAAACGGGACTCTGAGCGCCTCCCTCAGCGCCGCTGAAAGAAGCGCCGCGCTGCATCACTGGGAGCTAACATCCCTGTCAGGGTTCAGGCCTGGGTACTGGGCTGCGGGGAGGTCGGGGGTCGTGGCCGAAAGCAGAAGGGCTCGGGTGAACAGGAGCTGCCACATATCAGGCTTGGGTGGGACCTTCTAACTTCCTGTGTGCGCCCTGTACGGAGTCACACTGTCACAGATACAGTCCGTCCTACAGATGACATCACAGGCATGACAGGCCCCCCCCCCCCCCCCCCAGACAATGAAATCACCAAAAATCCCTCTATCCTGTCTTCAGGAGGAATTTTAAGGTACAAAAAAATACAATCAGATGAGAATATTGACCCCTGATCTAGAAAATAAAACCGAGGAGTTGGAATTGGGACAAAGTGACAAGAAGCAAGAAAGCGAGAGAGAGAGAGAGAGAGAGAGAGAGAGAGAGCGAGAGAGAGAGAAGAGAGAGAGAGAATTCCCTGTGAGAAACACTGCACTTGGTGACCAAACAGGAAGCGAGCAAGCCGTCATTCACAAACATGTGTTGACAAGTAGCACATTTCCTGTCTGACCTGAATTACCCTGAAGTCAGGTGAAGCAGTGAGTCTCCACTGTCTTCACTGCATCTTGTTTTTACAAGTACAATAACACACAAAGCTGACTCCCTGGCAGGGGCGCGTAAATGCTGCCTGCTATAACCCCCCCACCCCCCACCCCATCCACAGTGGAAATTTTCTGGAAAATGCTTCAAGAAAAAAAAAAGAAGAAACTTTCCAAAACGTGAAATGCTAAATAAAATCCCCTGCAGTCCCCTATAAGGGCATCAATGAGACAAACCAGAAAGACAGAGAAACAACAACAAAAGCAGCAGAGCGCAGTTTTAACTGGCAAAGAAATCAGTGCTTTGGAAATAAATGTAAAGGAACAAACACTTAATTACACAGCAGCAGTGCTCATAACAACAACAAAATTAACAGTCGCACGGCTTCACTGCGCCACCCAGACGAAAATTGGGGGGGGGGGGGGAGTTGAGTTCGGGGAAACATTATTACGCTGTCGATGGACAACAAGCAGTTATTAAACTAAATTATTTATGCCGTTTTGACAAGTTAAGCCAAAGCTGCCGGTATGTTATTCGTTCCAGATAAACAAACAGGAAGAGAGCTGTTTGGGCGGTACACACTGACAGGAGTATTCCTGAACACGCCTCACATACATACCCTGTAACACTTTACACACTTCTCTCATATGTTTAATCCAAAGGGGTCAGCCAGCATCCGTACACCAGCAGGGGTTAAGAGCCTTATACTGCCGAGCACGAGATTTGAACCAATAAACACCTGGACACTGATCACTAAGCTGAGCCTGCATCACATGACAACACAGCGCGGTGCGGAAGACCCGAATCGAGGCCAAGCACTCGGGTCACCAAATGTCTGACATCGGCCCTGATGAAGTAAAATGTACCCAATGGGTCAAATGACCCTTAAGCTGCTCCACACTGCAAGCTACCTGAGCCCAGGTAGTAGGTAAAGAGGTGGAATCTCACCTTTCAGGTTCTTCGGATGGTTCTGCTTCGTGCGCGGCATCTTTTCCCACTGCTCATAGGCTCATGGCTGAATGCGGCTCTGGGGGTCGGTGTCCTGGGGGCGGGGGGCACGCTGCAATGCCAGGGAACGTCGTCCGCTCATCTGCAGCGGGAAAACCGGAGAGCAGAACCAGGAGTCAGAGCGACAGTGCCTGGCGAGGCTGACGTCCTTTTGCCCCGTCTTAAAATCAAAAAGGGAACCTAATTTTCATCGAGAGGCCATTTAAAAATGCTCCAAGAAGCGAGTGGGAAGCCTGAGCACAGCGCCTGGGTCTTTGTGAGTCACATAAGCAGCTGAGGGATGTTCAGAAACATCTGCAGCCAGGGCTTGTGTCGGTGGAGCCAACTCTTCGCACACAACGGCTTGACTGACACGTGACGTGTCATTAACAGCCCCAGCGCCTCTGGCTTGACAAAACCAGGGCGAAGCCTCAGGGGAGGGCGACACTGAGCGGGGTAAGTCGGAGGTTAAAGGTGGCTCTGTTAACGTCCGAATAAAGGGCGCCACACGGTTCATCGGCAAGGACGCCAGGCAGTTCTGCCCGTAGCGTCTAACAAACAGCCTTTTTTGGGGATTCAACGCAGACGATCGCTGCTTTCTTCACCCACTCACAGTTTCACCTAACTGAAGCTTCCCATTAACATGCGATGTATGAAGCAGGCATCGCTAGACTTAAAGCCTATAATAATACCTGCAGCAAGGCTGAGGTTTGACTGTTGGCAACAAATAAACAAACAGAAATAATTAAATGAATAAATGGATGCAGATCAGAGCGTGAAGGTGTAAACGTCTGCTACCATCAACAACACAACAGCGACGTATAAACACGTAACCTGTCAAACTTCGAAATGATTATTTTTCTCCCCTTATTGCCGACAACATTATGTCATCGCCCACCTCTCAGGCAGCTCGTACTAGCACTATAGGATTTGTCTCCCTTGCGGTGGTACATGTGCGCCTTATGGCAATGACATCACCGCATTGTGGACTGGCACCAATAGAGAAGCGCATGAATCACGGCTCAAGGGGACAATGACAAACAGTCTGCGATCGATACACGGGCTTGTCCGAAATAAAAACGTTTCACCCCACAAAGGCACACGTGTTAACATGCATCCTCTGTTTCATGCTTTCCGGTCAATGCAAGAACCACCCGAAAATAAATTGCTTGGGACGAGCTAAAAAAAAAAAAACACCGCATGCTTAATAAGGCATCTAATGCCAGCTACTGTAGCTATGGAAAAAAATACCTGTATGAATCCATATCTTACAGTCTCTCGCTTAACCAGCTGCAGTTACAAAAAATCGCGCATTTACAACGCAACAACAACAATAGGATGAAGACAGCCCAAGACCCAAAAGCATGCCCTGTCGACAAATATGCTTTCATTACAACAGGGACATGAGGATGTACAATGTATTCCGGAATTGCATGCCATACTTCTCTATAGCCCCGAGCCTTCAAGCGTCTACGACAGCCAAAAGGTTTTTTTTTTTAATAGCTCGTTGAAATATGTCGTTCATTGAAAAGAGGACGAAAAGGAGATCAACAAGAGGGTGCGAGGTGCGCGCTGATAATATTTTGCATGTGTAATCACATGAAGCGCGGCTACGAGAGGGAGGAGCCAGGGAAAACCCCCTTTGCAGGACGACGCGAAAGAGGCACTTCCCATCTGGGTGAATCATGCAACAACTTCCATCAATTAAACGCACCTCGGTTTTACCGATTGTGATATTACACCGATGTCCCCCGGCAGCAGATATTAAACTGCTGTGCTCGGGCATGTCCGAAGCGACAATATCGTGCACACCGCTTTTAAAATATCAAACTTAACCTGAGAAACACCATTACTGCAGGCGTCCAAAAAACCGAAACGATGTTCTCTGAATTAATAGGACGGATGACTTTAGCTAGCCGGGACAGCGGTCCCTTAACGATTTCTCCGCGTTTTATTTTTCCTCCGTACCCAGAATCCCCGAAACGTTACGCAACGAAATAAATAACACGTTTAGTTACAGGCAATGGAAACAACTTTTCGCCCGATCGCAGCAAGATAAAAGGGAGCACTGTGAGGCATGTAGCTACTTAGCGAGCTAAAAACACCACACACACTCATGCACCCGAAGATGGCCGTAACTTTTGCACAATTTAAACGTTTAGAAACCTTAAATATATATACTTACAGGTGTACTCGCAACTGTTGTATGGTTTTTTTCTATTATGACAGACCTTTACAGTCAATGGGGAAGAGTGTTTTTTCTCTTTACCCTCTCTCACTTTCTATTGCAGGAAACAGGCAGGCCCACTGACGTCAACGGGGGTCCCGTCCCGCCCCTCAACCGCTTGAAAAGGAATGTAAGGAGGTACGCGACGGCCGACAAGCGAGATGTTAAATGGGTGTAACAATTACGACGCTTAAACTTATAAATTCATCAAGTTTTCTGGTTCCTATAATATGATCATTTTAGAAAACGCGATAATAAATGGCGTTTTAAAAGTTAGTTTCGTTCTTCCACAAACTCTCGTCCGTCGTGGTTCTACTTTGGTACCTCCCCATTGCACATAGTTTAGGACTGACGGTGTTCCCGGAGGTTCCTTGTTGTCAGGTCACGTTGTGCCCCTTCACTACCGCCTGGGCTTTCCCTTGCAGATATTCCCAAGCTTTAATCCCTTCCAGTGCGCAGTAACGCCCGTGTTCAGCACTTGTCCATGCGATTTCGTCTGTAGTGACAGAACATTGGCTTCGAGGAAAGCGCTGAACGGAGATAAATACCTCCAGAAACGGAACTAAAATCTTTATCGAGCCACAGACTTGGTCTGTGGTACTGTGGTGTTTCAAAAATCTAGGTGGTCTAAGGACGTCAGCTATTTTTTTTCTTTAAAAATTGCATTGGCTGTGTCTTGGCCAGATCATGTCTGTGGTTTCGCTTGATAATTAGCCAGCAACAAGTTGCGCACTGATATCTAGGATAAATAATAGGGCTCTAAATGACAAGTTTAATTTTCTGCTAATCACGTACCACCGGTTCAACTAATGAAGGAAAGTATGCTGGAAAAAAATAATATCGATGCCATAAGTTTATGTGATTTGTGGTAACAGGTTTTCCGTAAAATAGTGCTTTAAAAATTACATATTTCTAGAAATGTATTGTTTTTCTCCACATACTAGAATTTGTAGTATTAGTAGAGACATTATATTTAAATTAATGTAAGAAATTTACTGTAGGCTAATCATATTGAAAGTAATAATAATAATAATAATAATAATAATAATAATAATAAAAGGGCACAGTGTTGTTTGTTGTTATTCTGTACTCGCGGTGAATCATTTGCATTTCACGCAAGCATCCGTTAATGGAAATCTAACTCATAACATTAATATGTAGTCCAGCATGAGCTCTTGGCGCTGTTTTAGAAACGCAAACACATGATACTGTTTTTTTTTTTTTTTTTTGCACACTTGTAATGATGGTATAGTAATGGAGTGTATCTGTCTAGCATCTTCATCCCGACCGCGTGACTGCAAAGCCAGTGTGTTGTATAAAGGCCGCGTGACATGTTCCTGTGTTCCGCACCTCGCCGTAGAGCTCACCGTAAGACGTACAACACTGTAAGATACAAAATGGCAACCTGCTCATTCCAGTTTTCGTTATGTGTTTCATGCCACACTTGAGTCATCAGCTGCTTTGCGTCACTGGACTGTAAACATCCTGTGAGTCCCTTAGGGTTTCCAGGCAGAGTATTTAACACGACTGCCTATTGTCTCATTGTGGGGGACAGGCTGGAGACGCTCCAGAAAGTTACTGTTTTAAATCTTTTTTTTAAGAAAAAGTTGAAATATGTACCTTTCAACAATATGTTACCGGCGTGAATTCCATAAGCAGCATGTTTATAGGCAGAATAGCCATGACACTGAATTCTTGAGATGAACAAGTACCCTGAACTGGCCTCTTTAAAGCTGCGAGATGTGCAGTGCTGCTCCTGGTAGTTTTTTGCCCTTTCTGTATGACTGCTGTTCAACCCTCAAACATCACCTAATTATAAAAAAACAGCTATTTCAGTTACTCAGAACTGCACCATTTGCTTATGTGCCTCTAATGACTCAGAATGATCTGTGCATAAGGGTCACTCAGACACATATTCACATATAAACACAAGCTTGATACAGATAACAAACAGAAGCACTAGGCATTTATCCACCAATCGCTCATCTACTACAGGGTCACTGTGAGCCTGGAGTCTTTCCCAGATAGCAAAGGGCACAATACTGGGGATGCTGCTCCATCGTAGGGGCACGCACTAACACACTTACACACTCACACTCACTATGGGCAATATAGAGCCTCACTATCACCCAAATCAGGTGTTTCTGGAGGAAAGTGGAGATCAAGCATTGGGAGCTTATGCAAAGTAACGCAGTCTGAACTGGGGAGGCTGGAATCAAACCACAACCCTGAAGGTGTGAGGCTATAGTGCTACTTACTACACAACAGGCAGGGAATTAGAGTTTAATAGGGTCAGTTTTGATTGATGTGTTTGTGATTGGACGTTTTAGGTCACATGGGTTCAAGGTAGCCAATTAACATTGACATCAACGTATCGTTCGGTGACTTGGCTGTCCTCCATATTCTAAGATGATGGGGTCCCTCCAACAAAAATATTTCTTCCCAAAAAGAGGCAAAAAGAAACTGCTGTTCAAGAGGTTAGATATTCACTGATTGCGACGGGCTGTTTGTCAAGGTTTCATCTTAGCTGGAGATGTTCAGTAGGCCGTTCGGTGGGTGCAGTGTGGAAAGCAAGCAGCGAGCCTGGCCATCAGTGTTTCAGTGCAGTGCACAGCGCGGAAAGCCCCCTCCCTCACAGCCTGTCAATGCACATGACTCCTTCTGCGACCCTGGTGTGTCACAGGAGGCTGAGGACCACTCTGCGAGCCCGATGACTAGAATGACCTGCACTTAACCCCTTCACTGCTAATTCAACCCTAGATTTTAGAGCATGCTATCCAATGTGTGCAAGATAATGCCACATCCTTCCTTGGAACCACGCGTGTCTCTGAGTAGTTAAGCTTTGACTACAATGTGTGTGGCTCCACAGGATGGCTGGCAAAGTGATGCTCCTGCTGAGCCCTTGAGTAAAGCTCCTAATCCCAAATTACTCCAGGGACTGTCTGACCCTGACAGAGGCATCCTCTAAACAAATAAATGTAACCTAAAAATTGATTGATTTTCCAAGTCTATAAGTTTGTGTTTTTAATCGTAAATTTAATCTAGAAATAACTAAATTTCGCATTCAGGTGCATTTTCGCTATGATAACTAAGGTCTAACGCTGTTCGATGGAGCAGTTTTCAAGGTGAGAGTCACCCATGTGGATCGACGTAGCATTTAAAATGGCCCCCACACACTTCGAGTGACATTTGCGGGGTCTTTTGCCCCCATGAGGTCATGCCACACCGCAGGATACATCCACCACCTGGGAGTAAGAATGGAGATCGTCGGTGCCAGTCTTCGGGGATGAGAGAGAGAGAGAGAGAGAGAGAGAGACTGGGTGAAGGAGAAGCACCTACACAGATCCCATTGGCTGCTGCTGGCTTGTTTGGAGTGTGGCAGCCTCAGCGAGACGCATCAGACGTGCTGTCTGTGTGTTACATAAAGCTGCAGCTTCTCTGCCTCCCTCCCACAGACCTGCGTGCGCCACACGGCTGCGGCAGAGGCGTCGGCCGCCTTACCTGGCGTGCCTCAAACGCTCCAGCGCTGGGGCCTGAACGCGGGAGCTGTGGGCGGCTTCTCGCGTATGAATCAGACCACCGCTCTCTCGCTGTAAAAATAGGGATCTGTCACAGTCTTCCATCGCTTCGGAACTCGTCTAATTATGCCATCTATGTTTTGGGAATGTTTCTTGTCCAGTCTGGCAAGGATGTCACGCTCTTCGTGCCCCTGTGTACTCCCGTCGCAGGTTAGGAGCTGTTACACAGTGCCAGGGGTCCGGAGGGAGGGGCGGGTGGGGTTTGGGAGGCAATAATAGACTTCCTGTCTCTGTAATCTCTCTGGCATTGATCAGACTGGCAGGAGTCTCTTGACCCACTCATGAGAAACTTCTGCTGCCATTATAGTCCTGATTCTGTTTCCATGGCATCAGCCCCGTTCCTAGGGATGTGTCATCAGAGTATCCCGCCCGCGGTGACAAAGTCTGACAGCGGTGACAGATCCATATTTCGGGGCTTATTCAAATGAATAATGTGCGGGTCCCAGAATGGCCACGGCGCTGGGATTCCGGTGAACATTTCACAGTCTCTCGCACGGAAATAGATGGGGGCACATTGGAGCAGGCTGCTGAGTGCTGACATTCAAGCCAGTCGTCAAACGTGGACCAGCAGCGGGTCCGGGGCATTCTGCCAACGTGGCTTTTCAAGGGATGGACACACGGCCGTCGCCACAGGCCCGGAAGATTTTGGATCGCATGTCTGCAGCCTGTGGGAACGGCTCGGGGGGTCGTTCCTGTGGCGTTCCCAGGTGGGCCGTCCGTTCACAGGACGTTCAGCGATTCGCATGTTTCAGTTGTACTGAAAGCTGGGGTATGTCACCTCCTTGGCCAGACCGGGGGCGTGCCTTCTTGGGGTCCCCAGAATCTCCGGTCACACGGCTTGGCTACAACTGTAGCTTGCCGTAGCCAGGGAGGTCCTCTCCAATAGCAGAGCAGCTTTTAATAACCATGCACCACCCACACAACTGCCCCCAGGCCCCACAAACAACAACCTGTTACATAAATGTGCCAGGAAACTGGGGAGGCTTTTTCTGGGCGGCTCGTCTTCGCGTATGGAGGAGTTTATCTCACTGCCGATGATGTAACATTTTACAAGCACATCTCATTCTCTTTTTTTTTGTTCCCTCTCTATTTCAAGATCATAACAACACATTCAGATATTGCCCTATTTCATTTTGCGTTAAATACCAAACCCAAGTGCCTCCGTGCCTCAGAAAAGAGGCATCGCAAAGGAACAAAAATCGCCGAACAGACAGACAGAAGTGATCGCGCTTCAGCAAAGGCACAACAAACGTGTTTTCAGAGGCCGTATGGATGGGGGGGGAGAGTGTGAACGGGCTGAAGTCCGCGAGGCCTGTTTACGATCGGCGAAGCGTCCACGCTTTATTTCTCACCTTGCTTATGTGTCAGGCGAGCCTTGCGTTTCATTCAGGCCTATCGGCAAGATGATGAATAATCTATTATGGGATTAAGAAAGGGCGAGACAGAGATCCGAAACAGGACAATTAGTTGGCAGGCTCTCTGCAATATAAAACTCAGGAGGGGTCCCTCAGATGTTCCTTCCTAATTAAATGCAGCTTTGACACTGTCCACAGTGACCCCAGAACACAACAGTGCTGATGCTGTAATATCCTGGCATTGCGGCTTCCTCGTCTGACTCACCCAGTCTGTCCGAGAAGCTCACGTGTATGATGACTGTCATCGGCTATAAGCGTCTCTGGAGTGCCCTGTGACGGACCGGCATCCCGTCCAGGGGTGTCTCCTTCCCTTGTGCCCTGCGTTGTGGAGCGATAAGCTCCAGACTCTCCTGAAATCATGTTTGGAAGACAGGTGGATGAATGCATCAGTCCCAATGGTTATAACAGGGAATAATTTGTACGTATTAATGATGAAGAATTAAATGCAGGCGGGTACTGTACTTCGACGCCGCTGTGGTTCCTGATGCATTTTGCAATTGATATCTTGCTATGGGTCAGATATAAAAATGTTACTTGGGTCCAGTTGTCTACTGTTTTAGCTGAGATGCTGCACACAGTCTTGAGTTACTTTTACTGCTAATGTTTTTATAACATGTCATCAGGTGGTTTTGTCATGTACTATCAGTCAGAGGGAGGGATTTTATGGTGAGATGCAATTCAATTCAAATTCAATTCAAATCATTCTATTTGTCCCCAAGGGGCAGTTTAAAAAGCACGTGGAGTAGCACAACAACCATTTACACATAACAATTAATGTAAATAAAACAACATACACACATAGGAGACAAAGTGCATTGCTGTTAGGCAAACCTTAATACTGTGCTGCAGGGTTTGGGCCCTTTACAGGAGCTAAACACATACAGCAGTTGACCGAACAGCGGAAAAAAAGTCACATGACCCAGTGAGTCACTCTTCACCCTGTTCTCGGCAAGCAGACGCGTACGTGTGCGGTGCACAGCAGAGAGAACCTACGGCTTCAAACGCTGGCATTTACCCGTGAAGGACCCTGTGCCACACGTTTCCGCCACGCTTCAGATCCACAGTGCAAGGTGAACATTGCTAAATATAAAACAATCACATTGATCCTGCGCCGAAGCATTTCTGTCCTCGGGCGAGCGCCACCACGCACTTCTGAACAGCTCGGTGAGTATGAAAGCCACGTGACCATCCCAGTCACCAGATTGGAACCACAATAACGCCTTATGGGAGACTCTGGAACAGCACCTGAGACAGCATTTTCCACCAGGGTCAACAAAACAGTGAATGGGGGAATTTTTCATGGAAGAAACTGGTAAATTGCAACGCTTCCCACGAGCAGAGTTCCAGGCATATGCAGATTCCATGCCAAGGCCCACTGAAGCTGATCTGTTTGGTCTAAACGTGGGTATAGTTACCTGTACTTCGCAACAGAGTTGGGTAATTCAGGTCCAGAGAGTAAAAGTCCAGACTGGGTTTTTGTTTCTCTGTGACTCTGTGACTGTGACTCTTTATGCTCAGCTGGTTGGTTGAAACAAAATCCCACTCTGGACCAGAATTACCCAACTCTGCTTCTCAGCAATATATTTCTTCAACCTTCTTATACTGTGAAGTGAAATTTGTTTTTTTTTTGATAGATGTTCTACCCAGGAATATAACCCAGACAAGTTACATGAACCAAAGAAATTAACAATTAACAGCTGAAAAGTACTGGTAAAGTCTTCTGAGAAATAAATGGGATTGGGGCCAAAGGCGAACTCTGCCAACAGAGTCGTTTCACCTTTGTCTGCGGATCGTCCCATTATGTCTGGGCCAGGGAGCATCTGTGTTCCTGTAAGTCTTCCTAAGGATGTCAGTGAGACGTGTGTTGTTTCGTCTGGGGGGGCCACAGCCCGGAGTTTTTAGCACAGAGAGAATCCAGGGTCCGCATACAGCGTGGGTCTGTTTACAGCGCTGCCTGTGAGGTTACATAACCAAGACTGTAACTGCTGCTTCATCCAGACTCTGCCCACATCCCGCAGGCACACGGGGAGCGTTGGGTGTGGTAAGCATGCAGGCTGATTTTGGAGCCCGCAGATGTGTCTGCTGCGCACTGCAGCTGCCGGTCCACTGGCTGTTTTACTCGGAGCGAGCGATGATGAAAGTTCGCCTGCAGCCGGTTCTGGTGCCTCCCGTAGTCTCACTTCAGCTCCTACTGAGATGGTGAGTTATTAGTTTTCCAGACCTTTCCAGCATCACTGCAGGGCCAATGAAGACTTTCCATTATAATTCAGCGGCTGCCTATACAGCTGCTGCATGCACTCCTAGGCATGGAAAATTTGAGAAACGTTAAATAAAGAGGCCTTGTGAAAACAGGGACAGTTAGCCACAACATTTCTGCCAAAAAGCCACATTTTATATTTGTTGGGTGTTTGAATGAATGCTGAGGCAGAAAAATAATATCACTTAAATGTAAACTTCAGACAGCAAACTGCTTGGCCTTGTAGCTCTCAGACATCTTAATAAGGGATGATGAGATAGATCATGAGAAATGGGAAACGATTCGGAAGAGTCATTATTGGATATGAATCCAAAGAATGATTAAGGTCAAGGGCTTTTAATATAATTTATCAATAGAAAATTTCATTCCAGGAATTCGGTCTCATGTTATTGCAATGACTCATGTTATTTCTACAACAGAATTTCATATATAAATCTGTATTTAGCTTCTAAACTTTTCATATAGCACTTAATCTAATCACTGATTTATGCAAATATACTCCATCCATCCATCTAACTTCACCCTACTTCCCCTGATTGAGATGGTATAGTTCCGAGCACCGTGTGTGTGTGTGTGTGTGTGTATATATATATATATATCTCAACACACACACAGGTTTGTAATTATATCTTTGTGGGGACTCTCCGTTCATTTCTATGGGGAAAACTCTAATCCAAACATGACCACCTTAATCCCTACCCAGCCCTAACCCCAATGATAAGAAACCAAACTAAATATGAGACTTCTGGCATTTTTAGATCTTTGTGGGGACCTGAAAATGGTCCCCACAAAGTCAAAATAACGGGTTTTTATCACATCTTGGGGGACATTTGGTCCCCACAATGTAATATAAAATCATGCACACACACACAAATGCACACACACAGACACACACACGCATGCACACACACACACACACACACACACACAAATATCATATATATCATATAGAACATAAATAATGTGTCTTTTAAGCTCTTCCATGATTTAAATGCCCAAACGTATACAAAGAAAGATCTGATAGGCTGCCAATCAGCCAATGAAATGTTTGCCAAAAGCCTCTCGATGATAACTGGGTGCTTTGCATGGTATCACGCACTTCAGCACCAGGGCCTGACGATGAACTAGACTGAAAAAAGTGCAGAGAGCAGATGCCTTCACGCTGACATCTGACTCTGCCATAACACAAACCGGCTTTTGTCCATTGGGTGTGGCAGTGACCCAGTATTGGTCCTCAGTGACGTTACCTTTGGCTCTGATTGGTCACGTTTGCTCACAGGGTCCACCCTACAGACCCAATGTCACTATGAGACTTGTGTTCAAGTGTCGCATTACTAACAATTTGTTTCCTGTCAATCATTGTCAGAGATTATTTATTTTCTTGAAGCATATTTTTAAAGTGAACCTCTTAAGAATCCTTAATCTAGAACATGTGGTTTGTAATAAATTGGCTTAATTCCAATGCAAGGACTGTATATATGCAAGGTTTTTGACAATAAAAATTTGTTCACAGACATTAGCTGAAATAATATATGAACATATATCTAAAAAAATATGGATAGTGATACATGGCAGTACTGCGTTACTCAGGCAAGTTTTGGGTTGTTAATTTAGGAATTGAGTATAGTGTGATCATCCTGATCAGCATCCTTCCAGGTTAGGCTCAGTCAACACTGTACTTCTTTGCTAGACAGTGGCCCACACTGCCCCGCAGTGACCCACACTATCCTGCAGTGACCCACACTCCCCTGCTGTGCTGTGAGCCTGGGCACACCTCTCACACCCTGACCGCCCCGCAGTGACCCACACTATCCTGCAGTGACCCACACTGCCCCACTGTTCTGTGAGTCTGGGCACTCCTCTCACACCCTGACCGCACAGAGCTCTGGCACCATGTCTCTATCGTTCTGGGGATGCTGAAACCCCACAGTGTTTCCACCGTGGCTGCCAAGCAAAGGAAGCTTTTGCTTCTCACGCTCAATAGCAGGAATGAGAAAACATAACCTCACCCTCTTACAGATCACTTTACTCTGCGACTTCCAAGATGATTCCCAGAACAGAGGAAAGACACAAACCCTCCCGGCTGGTCCATCAAACTACCCAGTGGCTCTATCCCTAACCCTAACCTCTCTCTGTGAAGAGCAGCCCCCATTCAGACTAAAGTATAATCACTGAAAATGGAGAGGAGCTGACATTCTGAGTGCTCAGCCGAAGTTTGGGTGGTGCTGGTCTCTTCTGTCGAGACGCAGAGGCCATTGAAATTACAGCAGGTGCACACTTCGTGCTTTCAGTTCATTCTGACCTGACATTTCTGTCATAAATGCTCCTTTTGCAGGAGCCTGTTCAGAAACCGCCGGAGCAAAGGTGCAGGAAGACACAGCAGGTAGGTGTGCAGTGAGTGGTTTGGCGAGCTAAGCCTCTCTATCTGTGATTGGAAGATTGCCAGTTTGATCCCTGACCTCGGCAGAACTGTCATGTTTCTGTGGGCCCTTGAGCAGAACCCTTAACCCCCAGCTCCAGGGGGCTGCACCTTGGCTGACCCTGTGCTGTGATGCTCCCCCCCCCAAAAAATCTATGGAGAGCAAGATGGGGTAGGCAAAGAGAGGAATTCCAATATACCTGTAATCATGCAGATGGGAAATAAAGGATTTATCATTTATCAGATGCAATCGAAACCAAACCTATGCCTAGACCTTACAGAATCCCGGCCAGGGCCTGCTTCTGTTCCATTAAGCCCATGGTTTCTTTAAGGTCCTCCCCAAAGATGGCAACTGTGAACTACATGGCGTCGGCTCATACAGAATCAGCCGCACAGCCCTGACTAGGCCGGATCTGTGCTCCAGGGGCAGGTGGGTGTCTGTACCCAGAGAAGGAGGCCACAGAGCGTTTAGAGAGCCCCCTGACACTGTCAGTAGGTGCTGGTGATGCAATCAAGTGCAGTCAGTGACCAGACCCCAGGTCTGTATGAAACACTGGGGACCACGAGCTCTTGAGGAAATCATGACGGAAGTAAAGGATCAGAGCCCATGGATCAGAGCTCAAGCTCGGATGCAGCGTTAGGAGGCACATTGTCCTGCTTCTTTGATTTGTCCCTCAATTAATGTTCAGCATGAACATCGTACTTTGGTGAGATGCTATTTTAAAGGAAAATGCAACCACCTGGTGGGGGCTGGCTGTGAGTTTCAGTAAACGAGGATCGACTAGCCACCGCCCCCCCCGACCCGCTCTGTATGGTGAGACTGAACCTTCTCCCACAGCCAGGCCAATCTGCGGAATCCTGAAACAGGAAACGAAAGGACACATTTTTGTAATATCGGTTCCCCCGGAACCGCAGCTGATGCTGAAGCCGCTCGCGTGCACTAATCGGCTTGAAGGAGAACCTCGAGGCCGCTGGGATTTCATGCGCGGTCCGTCAGTTTAGCAGCATGATCGGCTGAAGAAGATAATTATTGTGCCGATATACCACTTATTTAAAAGCTACAGACACGTTCCTGAACAGAACAGACACCAGAGTAATCAGGTGAAAGCCGTCTGACACGACAGGTACCTATTATGTGTGAGAAGGCTCTGATAATGAGTGAAGTCCAAACCATTATTGCAAAGGTAGAGCATCTTGATGAGAAGCGGACCTGCATCTAGAATCACTGAGCCAATGTAAAAGCTTCGTTAAACCCAAGATCAGCCAATTACCCTGCAATGAGGGCCACGTACATCCTACCTGCTCCGCCTGCCACTCCTGATGAATGGAGCGGCTGTGCCGCGTGCGGTAAACGGGGTATTTTAAGCTGTGTTTACAGAGCATATGTCATGATTCTAAAACCAGCAAGAATATAGTGTTGCCATGGAAACAGTCGGTCAGTATGCCCTCTGGTGGCCGTTCCCTGCGTACAAATCGAAGCAAAAGCACAGACTGTACTGGACTCAGCTTGGTAGCTGCTGTGGAAAGTGATTACAGTCTGGTTTTGCTGTCATAGCAAATGTTCACCTGCCTGTATGTGAAGCTATGAATATGGTCATGTGCAGTTGTGCATGGACACTGATAAGATCAGTAGCTAGGTTATCACAGAAAGATAAAAGTGTTTCGGAAATTGTCACTATTTTACAGTTTACACAGCTACAGCAGTTCAGGCTATGCATCTCCTGCCAGAAGTCATGTGGACAGCAGATGATCCCCATTGGTTCGCAAGCTGTGGCAAAAGCGAGCTGTTAGTTCATTGATAAAAACTGGGAATTGCAAGGAATAAACAGAACGCGGTCTGCTGTGAAATCGCCCAGGCGGTGTTCTCAGCTCTCTAGTGCCCCCTGTGGCCTCTGAGAAGAACTCACCTTCTCTATGGCAGCAAATGTGATAAAAGCTCGTTGTAACACTTCAACAATTGTGACATTAGATGACAAATCACTGTCTTTTAAGGCATTTGGCAATACAGCATATCTGAAGCATTTTACCAGACTTTCCTATTTTCCTGTTTCGCCTCTAAATAATAATGTTGGGCATTCCCTTTTTGAAATGTACCACAGCTGCATTGTAGTCCCCAAGGAACAACAAACAGACCAGTCATTACAGACCCCAGGCTGGACGGTGCCTCAGTGAAGCGGACGGTAACCTCACACTTGAATGCCGTCACTGATTCATATTGGGGGGGGGGGGGGGGGGG